AAAAGTTGTGATTGGCATATTGCCTGGATAAACACTACTAGGTCGCATTTGACAAACCTTTCCATCAGGAGTGGAAGCCGCAAGCTCCAAGCTCGTGGCCTCTGACAAGCCATGCAGAAGCAAGGAAGCGCCACCATTGGTGGGGTAAATCTGGGTGCTGCCCGTGAACCGGATGCTCGCCGTGGTCAACAAAGGCATGCTGTCGAGGGACGGAGGTGTCTGCTCCCCGTCACAGCTATCGGATATCTGCAGATGGCGGAGGTTCGGCGCGGAGATCCTCATCGTGGCGGTCCGACCGGCCGTGTTCCGGCCGATCGGGATGTCGCAGCGGACGATGCTGAGGCGCTCCAGCGAGGGCGACGCGATGGCGTCGCCGTTGAGGCGGCATCCGCTGAGGCTGATGCGCAGGAGCGCCGGGCAGGGGGAGAAGTCGAGGAGGCCGTCGGCGAGCTCGACGAACTCGAGGTGCATGGTCGTGAGCTGGCTGGACGTGAAGGCGAAAGGGGGGCGCGGACGCCACAGCAGGAAGCCCTCTTCGTCGAAGCGTGCCGTGAGCGAGGTGGCGCGGCACGTGGACAAGGCGTGCCTGATCCACAGGTCGACGTCCGGGTGGGGGTCGATCTCGGGTACGTCCTCGTCGTCGTCGTCGTCGTCAAAGAAGAAGAAGTTGGTGGACGGCTGGGGGCCTTTCACGAGGTCGTCGATCTCGAAGGTGTGCAGCGGCGAGGCGTCGTTCCGGTGGCGCAGCAGGCTGTTGACGAAGAGGCGAAAGCCGTCTCCCCTGCCGCGGACGCGGACGGCGGGGGTGGATTTCCAGAGGTGGCGCCAGCGGGGGGCGAGCACCGACGTCTGCACGGCGTCGCGCGATGGCAGGAAGGAGAGCACGTGCTGGAGGACATCGTCCGGCAGCGAGCCGGTGAGGTCGCGGCCCCTCATGCTTTGCAGATGGATGCAGGCTTCTAGGCAGGTCTGCTGGCTAAGGCTTGGAGCCATGGAGGAGGGAGGCTGCTATATATGTGTAGTACGTACTCGAGGTGATCTGTGATGGCAAGGAGAACGATCCGAAATCGGAACGGTCTAGAGCGATGTATTCGGTATGATTGCGAGGACATTACGGAACGTTCCTTGCTTTCTTTTTCGGAAAGGAAATGCTCGAGTCAGCCGGCTGATCTTTCTCCGCGCGTCCACCGCCTTCGTAGTCGTCCGTCGGATCTGGTTTTGATCAGATGCCTCAGAAACAAACGCTACCCATATTTCAGATTTTCAATTTGGCCACCGTTGCAATTCCTTTGACCGCAACAAGGGGCCTGCTGCAGATCGACACTGTTAAAGCTCAATTAACTTGTGTTAATTATGGGGAATCTCCCCTTGTACCAACTGCAGCCAGTTTGCGTTGGCAACTGTCGCGTCGGTTCCTGACAACTCTCCCGAACGGATGCCTCTTCGATGCATCCCTTCTGCCTGTATAAATACCTACAATCATCTAATGAAAGGACACAGGATTCACTTTTACATCTGGGCCGAGGCTCTCTCAATTGTTCTCTCGTTTCCCCTTTTAACAGACACAAGGCCAGCCGAGCCGCCCCAGCCTCCATCCCCACAATCAGCCTGAATGGCTCACCTGCGTCGTCCTCACTTCGTAGCCGCCACGCCTTCGCAGGATCTAGCCAGGCACGGCCGGCGCACCATACTGAATTTGGTGCAAAAAATGTAAATCTTCAAAACCTCCCAAGTTTGTGACCCCTTCCTCTGTACACTCTGGTATCATACATGGTAGTACGCCAATTAGGTGAATCCTTGTTCAAAATCAAAACTATTTCCAAATCCATTCTGCATAAACAGCAAATGTGCGCCCTGCAGCAACATCCATTCAAGAAAAATGCAGCATCGGCACTTGACCATCGACCAAAGTCGGCAAACTACGGCAGAAAAAACACCAAAAATTTCATACAAACCGAAGAACAAAAAACTGCTGTTCGGTCTCAGCAACATGCAGAATATTGTGTATTTCCATGGTTGAATGGACAGGTCCATGGGTTCAAACTCAATAACTTTTTTCACTTTCGCATCGCCAGCATTTGCAGAGTCGCAACAAAGAGTTCGCGTAAGTAGTTTGCCAACAGAAATTATCTCCACTACCATCTCAGCTACATGATGCAACAGACAATGAAGTAACAAAGAACAAAAGGGAAACAAGTGAAGAAGAACGACCGAGTACCGATGAATGAAGAATGAATCCTAAGATGCTAAAGTAGTAAGTGAGAATGAAGACAGAAAATGAAGACTAGTAGTGAAGTGAAAGACGTAGAGAGACGGAAAACTCTGAAGAAGAAAAAAAACTGAGAAACTGAATATAGATTGAAGAAAGGGACATGCTAAAAACTGGGAAGGGAAACTAAAGATGACAGACACTCAAGAAAGAAATAAGAAATTCTGCTTGACATGGTCCTAGAAAACTAACTGCTCAAATGTAGCTCTGATAATATACTATTTATATGACTGAGAACTCCTTCACATGGTCCTAGAAAACAAACTGCTCACTGTAGCTCTAAAAAAATCTATTTAAATAACTAGATAACTTCAAGTCAGCCTTCCAGCTTAATTAAGAATTTAAGACAGATTGAACCGAGGGAATGTAGAACTATTGTTCAAAGAACTATTGTCATACAGAGAAAGAAATTTAATCCAATTGTTATATACTTAGCTGGTTGAATATGGTATAAATATATGAATATGAAATAATTATTTGGTTAGCACTTGCGGTCTAGTTGTTATCATTTCACTTAAACATAGAGATAAATAAGACGATAAATAGAGATGGAGAAAAACAAGGCTAACAAATGACAGAAGAAATATATGTAGCCACGGATGTTGAGAAAGATAAGTGAGTGGGATAGAGAAACTGAGACTATTGCCTAATGCCAATGTACAGATAACTTACAAAGAGACAAACACATAGTCGCTTACTCGGACCTTAAAAAACGTAAAGATGGAGAAAACAATAGGGAGAGTAAGGAACTATCTTCTGAAGAAATTATACTAAGCAAAAAAAAAGAGGAAAGAAAAGGACCAATGGTGAATGACAAGGCATTTGAGATCCATGTGCCAGTAGACTAGGTTTCGATATCTTATGGGTTTTAACTCTAGCCTACCCCAACTTGTTTGGGACTGAAAGGCTTTGTTGTTCTTGTTGATGAATGACAATGTTGTTGAGTAGATGATAACTGAGAAATGGTGAAGGACAAGGCAAACTGAACTATAAATGATAACAAGGAAATGATGAATAATATGGCAATTAAGACTGGACAACAGAGAAAGAAAGACCAAGGATAATGACATGGGAAAGGTAGAAATCAAGCATCTTATACAAAGCAATATCTTGCTAGGTGTTAGAAGGTACGCATGGGCGAGTATCAAGGTTCATGATGTTTGCGATCCATCCATAACTGGTCGACACAAAACTTGAGTAAACATCTTCTAGGCAAAAACATCAGACGCGAGAAAGAAATCGTCATGAAAAAAGATAAATGAATTTCTGCATTACAAAACACCATAAAAAGATTGCAAAATACTGAAAAAAATATATACTGAATATAGAACTCTTAGGTACTGGATACGCAAGAGAATCACATAGCTAGCATACAAATACTGATGTTTAAAACACAACTAGTACAGTGACCCCTGGACAGAGAGGACAGTTGCTACTTTCCCTCTAGTAGTTGAATCAACATCTAATGTGGGAAACATATCAACACTTAATCTGTCAGACACTCTAACATAATATTGTGTCCTAAGCAATAGTTCTGAGCATAAAGAAAAACATTTGTATTACCAATTTATATCGTCTGTTTTGCACTAACTAGCAGAAAATGACTCTGGTGGCTTGTAAAATAACCAGGATATCATATACCATAAGGGACTATGGCAGAAAAAACAATTGGATTCTAACATTTTCAGATAATGCCTGAGCATAAAGTGCTACAGAGAAAATTGTTAAGTTTTGCATACCAATTTACTGAAATGACAGAATGATTAGATAAAATGAACCAAGCAATGAACCACGAGTTGCTCACTTCTGTTTACCACCCCATACTATCCTCTGAAAGTTATTCTTCATAAGGATCTCACTGCAGAAGAAAAGAAACTCTACTACCAAACTAGCTCTGAACATAGTTTGGCCACCTGGCCTTAGCCATGCCCACGTTGTTCAAGTTACCATTACCTTAACACGTTGCAAAAGTAACCAAATTAGCTTGAAAATAAGGATTCAAATAACACAACTGAAGAACCAGATAGGGCATAAATAGCTGCAATAATAATTGACTTGGCACATCTATGCAAATCAATCAGAAGCAAAAATGGCACACTCTGAGAGACCAAAGAGTAAATTGTCAAGACAGTAAGCAAAAGATGAATTAGCTCGGATATCACTAATTCTCCCCCGCATCAAGCCTCATACGTATGGCAGCAATTGTGCAATGTAACACCATACTCGGGAGCTCAAATCTAGCTAATGAAATCACAATTAACATGAGTACAATAGGTGCTCTGCAATTACCACATAATGATAGTCATTTGCATCATTGAAGACAGTAGCACTAACTTCAACACTTAAGCTAATCATGTTTGTAGAAACAAGAGTCAGGCGGATCATCGAAAAGCTGAAAACAGTGCATGTCCATGATATGACCACAGAACACAACAATTTCCAGAGCTAGTGACCATGAAATAAACAGGCATCGTTGACTTCAGTCGTTCGCGAAAGGGTCGCAAAGAGAAAAGTCGGATGCTTTCTTGAAGTTCCAAATGCTACCTCCTTGGGGATTAATCGTGATTGTGGAGTCTGAACTGGCCCGTTTCATGGATCCCAGAGGCTTCACTTTGGAAAGCATATCCTCCATCGAAGTGAAACTTCCATTTGCCATCACTATCAACGCCTCCTCCAGCACCAACGCACTCTTAAAGAAAAACTTGAGGAAAGCAAGCTCACTTCGATCCCCTCAGAAATCATGGAAAACCAGCAGCTTGATGCATGAGCAGATGCATTTTATGGTACCAGACTCATTCCAGAACTCAAGGTTGTGCTTGCCAGAGGGTTGACCAGTTTCTCCAGACTGTAACATTAATTAAATTAGTGCACATGAAATTCATCAGCTGCTAATGGATCATACAGCAACAGCAGCAATTGACAATAATACGCATATAGTACAAGATGGTGCAAATGAACGCCAAAAGAAGCACCAGGCTTCACCATGATGTGGAGCGTCTCAACATTCGGAAAGCATCCGAGGACAGTCGGGATCATCTTGGCATAACTGCGGACTCCACAACGCACCTCCAAAGCCAGGATCCTCACACTTGGTACCATGGTGCTTGGGCTCGTCTTTGTCCCAGCCTGCAATTGAAATCTCAATGCACTCAATCAAGAGAAGAAAGATCACACATATGCATTCATCATTTAGGTATGATGTACAGCAGAACAAATGGAAAAGACGAGGCACCTTGATGACAGTGTTGCCGAACTCTAGGACATGATTTTCTGAATCCAAGTATCCAAGCGAGTGCAACTTGGGGGCATGGCCGATCTTCACCTTGGTACAGACACCGTCTTTGGTCCAACCTCCTGATAGGATGAGTCGCTCCAGGCATGGGGCGTCCACCACAGCGATTTCCTCAAAGAAGGATAGGATGATCTTCACGCACCGGATGCTTTGGCTGACAAGGCGAAGGCCAAGCTTGAAAATATTGCTTTCCACACAGAGCGTCTCAAGCACGGGGCTCCTGTCGAGGATGAAGTCCAAATCCTTGCTCTCCATGAGGACAGTGCAGAGCCCAAGCTCACGGAGGTTAGGGGAAAAGGTGACGCGCTTGACGCCGGCCATGTCGGGGAACTTCCAGAGGCCGAGGTAGAGACAGGTGAGGGTGGTCATGCCTAAGAACGTGGAGGGGAGAAAGAACGTGGAGCGGAGAAGGCAGCCGAGCGGCATTGGGCGGTTGATGAGGATGAGTTCCTCGATGCCCTTGTCGGCGAGGATCTGGAGCCAGCACCTGAGCAGGCCATCGAACTCTTCCATGTAGCAGCTGGTGAGGTGGACGCAGCGGAAGGGACCCGGGTGCGCGGCGAGGATGCGGGAGACGGCGGAGGTGATGCGCCGCGCGTCGGCGCGCGCGACCGCGGTGCCTGCATCTGCGGGGAGGATGTGAGAGTCGACGAGGACGAGCGGGGTGGAGCGCCAGACCCCACGCCAGCGCCGGGAGAGCGCGGCCGTGCGCGCGGCTTCCTTGACTGGGAGGCGGGAGACGATGTTGCCGAGGAGCACGTCGGGGAGGCGACTGATGCAGTCGACGGAGTCGTGGGGGAGGAGAGCGAAGAGGCGGCCGTCGACGGAGACGGGCGGGTCTGGGAGGACGTTGCGGGTCCGGGAGAGCATGCGGGAGAAGAGGCCCTCCATCTCGTCCGGGTCATGGCGGTCGCGGCGGGACTTCGCCGCGGCCGCGGGATCCATGGGAACGGGCGGCACCCGGGTGCCCATGGCCGTCGCCGGAAGCGCCGCGGTGGGGACGAGGGTTTGGAGCGGGGCGTGCTGTCTGTGGAGTGGAGTGGAGCAGGAGCGGCGGAAGAAAAGGGGGAATTATATTTTTGAGAGAAAGAAAAAGGGAATCGCTTGTGGTCGGTGCGCCGGCCCAAACTTCGGCCGGTCTGGTCCATCACACAGCGCTGCCTTATCCACTCGCGTGGCTCCTTCTCCAATCGTTTTCTTCGGCAAACTCTTCCGAGCAGGCTCCCATGGCGCCGCCGTGAGCTACTCCAACGCCGCCGCCATCTCGTTGGCCGTGACCGCCATCTCCCAAGCTGCTTCATCCACCTACCGCGACCGCAAGCTGCTTCGTCCACCTCCCGTTATTGGTCGCGTTCGACAGAAGACGCTGCTACAACCATCGAAATCAAAAGCTGGAACCAGCTATTGCAAAAGCTACTACCGGCAAAGAAAATGCTGGAACCAGCAAATCAAAACATGGGGTTGGGAGATGAAATTGCTACAACCGACAAATAGAAAGCTGGAGCCGACAAATTAAAAAGCTGCAACCGGCTAAATCGAAAACAAAGCTATACTAGGGAGCACGACGGTCTTGCAAAAAAAATGGTGTTGCATCCACAGCAGTTGCTGGCAACGGCCGTCGCGGCCAACGAGGTCTTGAATTTGTTACAACTGGCAAGCGCAAAAGCTATCATCGGCGATTTTTTTTGCTTCGACGGACATGGACGGAGATCCTGAATTTTGTTACAACCGGCAACCAGAAATGATACCACAGGGTGAGTTTCTTAGCTACATCCGTTCATGGATTAGCTGCAAGCTGCAACGGGCGGCAACGGCGTTTTGCTGCAACCGCGTTTCGGTCTTGCTACCACTGGCGATGATTTTTGCTACATCCACCCATTTTGGTTGGAACCATGAACTGACAGAAAATCTGGACCCCGTGAACACACAAGCTCCCCGGCGGTGACCACGACCAGTGCAGGGGGTGTTGCAGCTGCAGCCGGAATCTCGACTAGCAGATGCTGGAAGCGGCGACGGCCCGGTGCTACGAGCCACATCGGCGAATGATGCATGTGTCGATGGCCGGCAATGATGGAGTTGCGTGGCCTCATCATCCAGCTGCGGCCAAGGACGGAGGTGGCTAGCTGCAGGGGGACGGGTGCGGCGAAGGCGCAACCTGATGCGCCGGAGGGCGAGGGGTGGCCCGCGGTGCGGGAGATTACTCCCAGAGCGGGGGATTTTTTCCAGAGGGGATCTCGCGGGCTCGTGGTGTTGGGAGAACGAAGACAACGCGCGGGACGGGGCCAGCTAGCTAAATCGAGCGGCCAGGAACGTGCGAATCGGGCAGCTGGCATACGACCGGCCCAACCGTTCGCCCGGCGCGCCGGCGCCTATCACTGCCCAATGAAAAATGGGGTCACGGGTTCAAGTCCCAAACCCGCCTCGTACGCCCCAAATCCGCCTCATTATCATATTACAAGACACTCAGATGGCGAGGGATTGCTATAACTATTTCCTAAAGTAGTGACGTGGCGTCGGCTCGAGCGGTCACGCGCGGCCAGGTGGTTTTTGTCGGTTTTCGGACGCGCCGCTTCTCCCGTACACCTGGCCGGTTGTGCCGAGGCGCGTCTCGCGTACCCCCCGATGGGCCCATCATGTCAATGACTGCGTGGGTACATCTGTTAGTGAGCGTAGACAAAGTAATGGGCGGTGGGCAGTTTCGAATTTCGTGCCACTTCCTTCGTCCCTCCCATCCACCACCCGTCACCGCTCCATTCCCCTCTCCCCTCCACTCCCCTCTTGATTTGCCGGTCATTGCCGGGTTCGCCACTGGATCTCGCCGTCGGCGCCGTTGAAAGGTGCGCAGGAGGTGGAGGCGCAGCAGGGGGAGGCACCCGCTGCTCGTCGTCGGCTGAGGTACGCTCGCTGCTCAACCGCTCGCTCCTTCTCCTTGTGTGCCATACCGATCTCGCCGTGTGCCGTACAGATGGAGGCCGCGGCCGTAATGCTCTTGTCGTGCCCCGTAGTGCTCCCGCCGCGCTCGTTGTGGGAGAGGCCACGCCCGTAGCACTCTCGCCGCGCCCATAGCGGGGGAAGTGGTGCTCATACTGCTCCCACCACGCTCCTAGCAGCAGAGGCCGCGACCGCAGCGCTCTCGTCGCGTTTGTAGTGAGGTAGGCCACGCGCTCTAGACTTGCTCTCTGTGCTGGGCCGCGCGTCGTTGTGTTGTCGCCGCGCCCGTAGCTGCAGAGGCCGCGACCGCTGCGCTCTCGCCCCGTCTGTAGTCGGGGAGGCCGTGCCCGCTAGACTCTCTCCGCAGTGCCTGTAGCGGGGGAGGCCTAGCCGACAGCAGATCTAGTGTTCGTGTCCCTTTTGCACAAGTGAATCGAAACCCTAGGCACCGTTGCATTTTAGGTGGTACTTTAGTTGGTAGATATCTCACCATGCAATTGAATATGTTCGATTTTTCATTTTTTTCATGCCCAGTTGCACAACAATTTGTTTGCAGTTGGCAATTGCACTATAGTAGTTGCACAGGGAATGTTTTCATTACTCAGTTGCACAACGAGTATCTTGTAGTTGGCAGTTGCATAACGAGTTTGTGCTTAAACTTGACATTTGTCCAGATACCCAATTGGCAGTTCCAGTTGCATCAGTTGCACACATCAGCTGCATCAGTTGCACACATCAGCTGCATCGGTTTGCAGTTGGTAACCGCACTAGTAGCCACTCCAACTATGTTCTGCAGGTTATAGTTACAATAGTTGCACATATTCGGGTATCTATGTTCTGCAGGTTTTATACTTGGCATTGGACCAGTTCCCAGCTGGCAGATCTAGATTCAATAGTCACACACAACTGGGATACGTGTTCTTGAATTTTTCACTTGGCATTACCATATCTGAGTTGGCAGAACCGGGGTCAATGTTTGGCAAAACCAGGGTCCAGTTGGCACAGGATTTTTTGAAATGTCTTAGTGGTGGGATGCTGGTTTTTTATGCATTTGTTTAATAAGTTTTGTTAGTGCTTTGAGCTACATTTTTTGTGTGTGTGCAATTAGAATGATTTTGTCAGGACCTGTTTTTTTTTCCAGTGAGAATGGTCGAAGAGGGAGATGCCGGTGGAAGTGGGGAAGAGGTTGTTTTCTATAAGTTCAAATATGATCGCATATATGTGTTTGTTTTCTGTTCTCTTTTTTCTTTTGTTTTTGATTTTTGGTTTTTGTTTCTTTTGAGCCATGCAGAGGATTGCATCAGAGTATATACAGCGGAATAGGAAAAGGCCTGCTCAGCGGGGTTCTCATACCGACCCCAATGATAGTAATGAAGTAGGGGTAAGTTTTGAATACGCATTGAACAATTTTGAGTTTATGTAAAAGAAATTCAATATTTTTATTTTTTGTTTTCTCTGTTTTTTTTCATGTTTTTTTAACATGAGGCATCATTTGGTAATTTTGTAGGTGGAGGATGCTACTGCATCACGTGCTGCAAAGCGAGCCAGAACAAAAGGAAAAGGGCAAGTCATCTGATGGGGATGGCCCAACCTCTGCAGAAGCTGATGAGGTACCTTTTTTTGTACATTTTTCTTTTTTAGTTGCACAGTATGTTGATAGTAGTTGGCACCTGTGTTGTTCAGTGTTGCATACGCCCAGCTATGCCCGAGCCCGCTAATATGTTCTAGCAACCCTATAGCTACGTTATCTGCGGCCTGCTTCACGCACTCAGACGGCGAGGTCGGAAACACACCAGACGGCGGCCACCCATACCTTGTCGTTTCCGTGATCGCCGCCTCGTGTAGTCTCCTGCTCCCCGCCGACAATCGGGGACTTGCCGTTGCCCATCTCGCCGCCTCGTGCAGGAGGCCGCCGCAACTGAACTCGATCACCAATTCTGGAATTCCCTCATTCTAATTGATACCACGGTAAACAGTACAGTTTCTCTAGGGTTTTCATCTTGTCAATTTTTTTGTTCGCTTGCAATTTTTAGGTTAAAAATAATGTTAGTCTCATATACTTTTGTATAAATTTAGATGACTAGTACAGTTCAAACAATTCTTTTGTAACATATGAATTTAGGGCGTGTTCGGGAGCCCTTCGGCTCCTCAACTCCTCGACTCCAGGTCGGGAGCTAGGCCGAACGGTCCAAACCATGGCTATGGAGTCGAGAAACTGGCTGACTGCGTAGTGTAATTTATGAGGAGTTGAGGAGCTGGTGATTTGCTACTCTCAGAAATTGAAGAAGCTGGAGTTGGCAGAAATCACAGACAGAATGCCACCGCCGAGTGGAAAACGATTTGGCGAGCCAGCCCACAACCCACGACTAGTCCTTTCCCCTCCTCCTGTCCCTATCAGAAACAATATCCGTCAGGAACAGCCTGCGACACGGGGCACCGGCAGCCTGGGCAAGTAGAAGCTACGGTGCCGAACGGAACGCTACTTCTGGGTTTTTTACGCGGAGTTGGAAGCTGGCGATGAGGATTTTGGGGCTGGGGAGAGCTACCGAACACGCCCTTAGTATGCATCTTTCTTTTTTACAAGTTAAATTGGCTAGTCCTGACTGACACACTCTAGTTTAATTCATATCATCTATTACTTTTTTCCTAGTTCCTACTACACTTCATCTATGTATATGATTTTTGGCATTCAAAGTTGTAGGGAAGCTAATGGGGATGTTTTTTTCTTCAAAAAATCAACAACCTCCAAGATTCATGAACTAGTTGGTTTGAACAAGCTTTCTATGGATCCATCTAAAAGGAAAGAGGATTGCATACTACATTCCCAACTAGCATGGTGATGTAAGAAGAAAGTACTTGATGTGGGGGCTCATCAGACTCTTCCTAGAAAGTTTAAGCCAATGATGTTTGAGAAGATCAATCAATATTGTAGTGAAGATCAATTGTTGATTATACAATTTCTAATTAATTATGATTAAACGCTTTCTTGATGTGAAAGATCACTGTTAGATGAAATAAAAGGTATTGTGCTAAAGCTCCTT